AGTGAAGACGGAGGTAAAAAAGTTGTTGAGTACCTGAGCCTTCTCCACATCCGGTGTTGTTACGAGTTTGCCAATGTTGCTCATCATGGCGGATACACTTTCTTTGACCTTCCTCTTCTTGCTGACATACCTGTAGAAGCCCACTCTTCCCATCTGTATTTATTGTTTAGACAAATTACGCAGGGTCACTTTTACTCTGGCACAGCTTAGTGAACCCTGATAAAACTGGTAACTTGACTTTGACTTTTCTTTAGGATTGCTTCCCAGGTTTCTTGGAAGCTTAGAAAGGAAGCTTTGAATCATGAATTTGTGTCCTCTGCTACTAAAAGCATGGGAATCAAAGCTTAAAATAAATGTGTTTGGTTTTTCGCTTAGAAATCTTCTGCTTTGCATTTTATGCTTACGTCTTTCCATTTGTTCGTGTGTCAAAATCGTATTTTACATTAAACAGGTCATCTTCTGCTGCAGAGTGTTAGCTTGCTCCACGTATTCTGAGACAGCAACCAGAGAACCAGAGACATCTAAAGATTTCATTTGCCTTCATCTGGGCACATCTTCATGCTGGTCCACAGTACATGAGCAGCTGGCAACTGCATCCAGATGTTTTACCTCTACTTTTTCTGCAAATCTCCTATCTTCTATGAAAACTTCTATGAAATAGTCCCCAGTTCATGAGTTTGTGATTCATACTATCAAAGTTCACTTGATTTCTATTACTCTCATCCTCCAGGTTATGCAGTGCTTCCTATAAGATATTCCAGCCCTCCATAGTTTTGATATTGCCTTCCAATTTTATGTCATCAGTAAATTTAATTAGCAGATTCTGTCTTGCCTGAAAAGTAGCCCTGAAAATATTGCTCATTTATTGGTTTTGTATGTTTTGTTTGTGTCATGTTACTGTTCTCTGGGTTCGTTATAAACGCTTGACAAGCCTAAAACCACATAGATCTAATAAAAAAGTATTTATCTCAGCAGCATAGTTGTTATTGCTCCTGTCACTTTATCCATCAAAGATTTTCTATCAACTTTAAAATTGTCATTGTTCAGAGTTACTTGGCCACCAGGCAGACTGGGAAATTGTGATAGCACTTTGATCCAATTGCTCAATGGTATTCCAACTAACATGAAACAATATGATTTCTTGAGCTCAGAAATACTACCCACTGAGAAGAAAGGCATCTGTTCATGTTCCTTAGAACTGTTTTTCCCAGGATTTCCAAAAACTCATTTCAGTCAAATACTGTTTTTCTGAAATCCTGAGGGTTAGAAATCAGAGAAGGTTGGAGAAAGTCGATGTTTGTATCAAAAGCTTCAATTCTGGGAAACTAGTGGCATGACAGAAAATCAGCAGTTGTCTGTAGTTACGCGCTGGCTGAATCTGACCCCAAACTGATTTTTGTTTAAAAGTGACATAGAAGTTCAGGGTTTAGAGACTTTGACACGGCACCTCTCAACCGGCTGAAACTCATACAAAGGCAGAAACAGAATAATTGAGAAATGGCAGGCTTGACACGGAAGTTGTCTCAAAGATCTGGTGTCTTGATGTTGTCCTTCAACTTACCTCTTATTATCTGTCTTGAAGGATCTCACGGAGGAAAGTCTCTTGAGGCTCAGTGCCCTCATCTCATCCTCACAAAAACTTTCAAAGCTTCTGTTGATTCCACTTGGGTCCTGCATGTCCACAGCAAATAGCAGAACTATTGCTCACTTCTAAGGCACACCCAAGAAGCAGCAGCTGAAGGTAAAAAACCAACCAACAAAATCATGCCCAGTCACCTGAGCACCGACTGTGTGCTCTCCGCACATCAGCTGCGTTACACTCTCTGATGTCACAGTTCTCAGTTTACCAATATCTTGAAGTGGCTGGAGGGAGCGTCTGGTGGAGGGTCCGTACTTTGCTTCTATCTTGTGATCACAGTACAAACTCGGGAGTCAAGAGGCCCAGATGCTGCTTAGTTCCTCCACATAATCCACAGCCTTCCTGTCATCCCAGGCAAGGCATTTAACTATCTGCTTGTTTACTATCCAGTAAAATGAGTGATTTCCTACCATATCTTGTAGCAGTGCTGTGAAACGTACTTTTAATGTTCACATAACATTCCAAGATCACTGCTACTACTAATTCTTTGTATTACATTAGGGTTAGAGATCCCATCTGAGATCTGATTGCATGCCACACCGCAATGATGATCCATACACCCAAGTGTTTAAGCTGTAAATTGACAGGTAGAAGGATGCAGACAAGCAGAACAGGAATCAAATCAAGACCACAACACAAATAATTGCACAGAAAGGATTAGACTGCACCTCTCAACTAACATACCAATGCTTTGCTACCAGATTACCTCATCTCTCTCAACTAAATTATGATTACTATATAGAAGTAGTCCACTCAACACCTCTTCTTACACTAGAAAAAACATGTATATTGAAGTATAAAATGTAAGCAAACAAAATATCTGGTAGTCCCCCACAGAAAAAGTACTGCATCTGCTTCAGTGAAATGGAAGAAACACAGTTGTCTTAATAAAGCTTTAATCTTATTAAACTTTCAAAGCATTTATGTGAATGCAATGATAAACAGGCAAGAGATGTCTCCTAGCGCTAGAAGCAACAACTTCACAAACATAAACTTCTGCCACAGGGAGCAACTCACTCAGATCAATCTTCCTGTCCAACACTGAAGTTTTCCTTTGCTTCAGCTTCACAGCAGCAGAAACAGACAAAGAAAAAATGCACCTTATGAACAGGGACTCCAGCAAAGATCAGCATACAAAATGCTCTCTCTGAAGAAAACCACAAAGGACACAGGCACGGAACAGCTCAAAGGGAAGGTGTAAATATAAAACCAGGCATAAATCAGTCACGTTTCTTTTCCACAGTTCCATAGTTTTTCCTTTGGCATTAGAAACAGAAAACACCAGAGCCAACTAAAAGTTGTGATCGTTCCCTTTGGATCTGTTCCTTCACTCACCTTTGGTCAAGCTTGCTGCTGCAGTTGCCTGATTCAAATCCTTCTAAGATGGGTTGCCTCCTTTTTTTCTCTTAAAATCTTTCATCGCCTGCTCATAAAGAAAAGCAGAGCTCCCATTTGCCTTCTGAGCTACTGCTATTGTATTTTTGAGGCTAAACGCAATGCATGAGTCATTATCACTAACGAATGAGAGAGGGAGAACAAAAGAACTCACTTCTTTCCCACAAAGAAGTTTCTGGCACACTTGCTAATATACATTTTTTGATAAATGCTTTCCTACTTGTCAAGTGATCGTGATAGCAGGTTCAGAAAGGCACTTGGCAGGTGTATGCTGACATCAGTGAGATAATTTATACTCAAATATACGGTTTACTACAATTAAACTTTAATTCAGGAACTGCTTTGCCTGGGCCTAAACACTGCTTTGGGAGCAAGTGCGAAAGGAAACGCTACTCCTACCAGCCCTCCTGCTCACACAGTACAGTGAATGCCACTCACAATCCAGATCCACGAAGGACAAAGTCAAAAATTAGTATCAGCCAGACTGAAAAGTTTTCACAGAGTTTAAGTGTTTTGCTAAATGCAAGACAGAGTGAAAAAAGACTGCTGAAATATGTCTCTAACTTAGCCCAGCAAAAGGACCCAGGGCCCTGCACCTGGGTCGGGGCAATCCCTGCTATCAACACAGTCTGGGGGATGAAGGGATGGAGAGCAGCCCTGCCGAGAAGGACTTGGGGGTGCTGGGGGGGTCTGGGGGGCACAAGCCCGGACCAGCAATGGTGCGAGGGCTGGAACTCCTCTGCTGGGAGGAAAGGCTGGGAGAGCTGGGGCTGTTCAGCCTGGGGAAGAGAAGGCTGCGGGGAGACCTTAGAGAAGCTGCCAGTGCCTGGAGGGGCCGATAGGAAAGACGGGGACAGAGGCTTTTTAGTAGGGCCTGTTGCGATAGGACAAGGGGTAGTGGTTTTAAACTAAAAGAGGGGAGATTTAGGCTGGATATAAGAGAAAATTTTTTACTCTGAGGGTGGTGAGACACTGTCACAGGTTGCCCAGAGAGGTGGTCGATGCCCCATCCCTGGGAACATTCCAGGTCGGGTTGGATGGGACTCTGAGCACCCTGATCCGGTTGAAGATGTCCCTGCTCACTGCAGCAGGGTTGGGCTAGATGGCCTTTAAAGGTCCCTTCCAACCCAAACCACTCTATGGCTCTATGATTCTATAAAACACAAACGCATATTTAAATATATTTTAGTGCTACATGAGACAATACAGTCCCTCTTAACCTTCTTTCTATCCTTTAAATCAGATCTGTACAAAAATATTAATCAGAGCTGCTGTAAATTGCAGTGGCACTTTATTTGTTGGTTTTTTTCCATGGCACTTTGCAGAGTCAGAGCAAGCTGATTACCAGTGACAGCAGCTGTAATTCAGTAATGTATCTCTCTTTACAGGTTCAGCAGAATATTGTGTTTTGCTTTTACTTAATTATTTTTTTCAGAAACACCTACAGGTAAAAAGATAACACAGCAATGATAATTTTTGTTGATCTACGGCACTATGCATAATAAACAGTAGTGAGGAATTCAGTTTGTTGTTTTGGAGACTGTTGTTCTAAATACATTCTAAACTAGTCATTTCACCTCAGGGCCTTCTACTGTTTTGTCAGCATTTACAATTCTTAGAAACATGTTTCTAAGTTATCTTAGATAATTAAGTAAGGTATGTTTATAAGCAACTAAAAAAATTGCACACTGAACTCCTTCAGGGCATCTTTACAGTTCTATCTGGTATAACTTAGCTTTCAATATTAAAATATTATTTCAAACTGATGGTGCCCTCGCAGGAGTAGCAAGATACTTAGGAGGAAACAGAAAAGAGGATGGACAGAGCACCATAGAATTACTACAAACCTGCCTGAAGAAATATCATTAGCAAATAGACTTTTGAGGTCACGTGAGCAGGCATACTACCTACTTTTAAATGCATATATAGCCTAAGACAGGTGTAAAATAGTGATCGCGGGAACGTGATGAGGTAGGGCAGATGATCCCGAAGGAGCACTTGGGCTTTAGGAGGCATATCACCAGTGAGGAGACACACTACCCTCAAGGCCTGGCTCATTTTTGGAATAGTATTATGAAAGCTGGGTGCAACGGATACATAGAGACAATAAACATTCAATTCATGGACTCCCTGTTCAATACAGGACCATGTTTTATGGCAAGCAGTCTGATTCTGGAACAAGCTTCAAACAGATGGAAAGCAACACAATGTGAACAAGAGATGAAGGACAGCACACTGTGCAATTTTTGTTAGCAAGTGTCACTTTGCTGTCACGAATGGCGCTGTGGCAGCTAACAGCAGCACTTAAGAAAGGCAAAGTTAAGGAGGATTTTGTATTACATAACACAGAGGGGGGGAAAAAAAACCCCAGAAACAGGCTTAAAAAAACAAGAACCTTTAAAAAAATAGGAAGCATTTTTCTCTGCCTTTAGCTTTTTGGTTGGTTTAGTTTTTAGCCTTCTGGACTATGTGAGCTTGTCTTCAAAACTAGAAAGGTTAGATCTTTCTGTTTTTAAATCAAGGCTGACAGATATAATCACTTGAATTCAGGAACTTGGTCTTAGGGGGAAAAGAGAAACACTGTAGTGCTCATAAGAAACTCAAAAGCTTTGGCAGCATCAGTTAATGCAAGGGTCTTTGCCAAGAGGGCCTGCCTTCAAATCATCATTTACTTAAAACTAATCCATTTTTTCTGCAGTGGTATTCAAAATTTTCTTTAAAATCCTAAGTCTACACACACTACTGCAGTGATAACAGGTAAGTTCCTACAGCAAAATATCTGCTTTTGGATAATATTGAAAGCTGTGTCTGTTACTGAAGAATAGTGATGTTATTTATATTAATTTGTAGATGTCTTGTTCCGTCAAAGATTATGAACACCAGGTGGTTTAGAGCCTTCCTTTCTCCATGACTGACCTCATCAAATAACATTGCTTGTTATTATATGTCTGGTTGGAACCAGATGATCTTTAAGGTCCCTTCCAACACTTATCATTCTATGATTCTATAATTCTATACTTTTAGGAAAAAAAGTGCTTCCCACCAAAGCTAACAGCATGATCAGAAAACACGAATCAGTGGCAGAATTCATTTACCGTGCAGGGTGGCCAGTCAAGACTGAAGAGCAAACAAGCCCTGTGGTCCTTGGGTACGAGGCAGTAACCTTTGGTAGCAGAGTGGGGGAACAGATAGGGGTGACCCCCCTCCAGCTGCTGCTGCCTAAACCCAACAGGGTTTGCAAATCCAAATTTTCAGTCTAGTGGCCAGGCCTAGTCACTGTGATTACACCCACGTTAGTAAATTAAACAAGTCTGGGACCAGTCTCTGCCCCCGAGGCCAGCTGGCACAGAACATCCAACATCGTTCTATCAGAGCCTCAAAAAGCTAGTGAAAGCTCACAGTCTGCCTGTTGGGGATGGCAGGATGTGTCCCCTAAACCATGCCCTGGAGTATCTTGGGAAACTGCTCACGGGCACAGGCTAAAACCATGGAAAGATTAACGAGATTTAGTAGAAACAACTGAGCTCCAGTGCTCAGGAACACCCTGATGCTGTTTAACTTGCTGATATCAGCAGAGCTGTAAGGATCATGGACATTTTTCACACTTCGGTCTGTGCTAATGCCCTCACCAGGTCCTTACAGCAATAGCCCACACATGCAGCGGCATTTCTTGCCCTAACATCCAGCACTCTCGGATATATTGTCTAAAAGCTCACACTTGTGTCTAACTGAGCAATTCCCCTAACGTCCTCATCCCCAGCTCCTTCTTATCGCCCACGCACCAGGATTACTGTCGGCATAGCAATGTAGGTACGGCGGAGCTTCTGAGTGCCCTCTGGTCCAAAGTCTGGCACCGTCCTCCAACTGCTGAGAAAAGCGGCCGGAAAGGGGTAACGTTCTCAACCTCCACAGCCGCTGGCTAGGAAAAGCTGCGCTTGAGCGTGCCAGGGCCTGCGCTCAACAGGGTTTTTCTGTTTGGAGGCACTAGGACTACTTTTAGTTTCTGTATCTAATTGATTTCCAAGGAAGTTTTAAATGTCAGTGGAAAGCTACTGATTTGGGGGAAAACCAACTAAACCACAACAGAGAAAACAGGAGCACATTAGTTCCCTGATCTATAGTTAGCTGAACTGCAGAGTCAACTCCTCTGCAACTGTTCATTAACATTAAAGTGGCTGGAAGCGTTTGCCAGCATCTTCCAGCGTGATAATGCCCAATTTCACCCCTGCAAAACCCATGCAAGAATTTTTGGCATGTTGATACCCTCTGAATGACTCAGCCTCCCAACGGAAAAGGAAGGAGATCAAGGAATTTTAGGAAGGAAGGGCACTGGAACCATACACAGAGCTAAGAACAGTCGACTGCATAACTGCTGTGGAAAGAGCAGGAAATATGGGAGCTTGGGTAGAGAAGGAAAGTAGGAATACACCAAACAGGAAAGAAAATACAAGCACTGACATGCATGGAAGGGAAAAGGGGAGAAAAGGATGTGGAGGGACACTGAAATGAGGAGAAGAGAAAGTGGGGAGTATCAGAGAAAAGGGAAACTATTTACGTGCTGGTACACAGCAGTCAGGAGCATGAGGGAATCTGGTACTCGAAGGAGAGGAGAGAGCACGAGGATGACCCAGAGTGGGGCATGGAGCCAGCAGCGCCCCAAGGAAGAAGAAACCAATGAGCCCAACTCATCCGGTTTCAAGAAACTATATGTTCTAAAATGAATTTTAAAAGATATTAGGGGCTTGAATATTCCTTTTTACAAATTACAAAATCAAGGGCTTGCACGCGTATCTAGCAGATCTGTATTCTCACCTGCCGGTGGCAAAACACAAAATAAGGCTGCTGTAGAAGCACGCCAAAAGCAATTGTTTGGAATGACACTACCCTCTGGTGGCCACAAAGTACAGTTATACGTACTCCAGGAAGGTAAAATACTTGGAGCTGGTCGTACAGGTAACTATGGCCTCTTTGACCCCTTATTCATGTCATTTGCACCATCTGTTCTTCAAATATAAAAAAAGTAATCAATTCCAATCCGCACATCAGTAATCCACCTTGAGACCATGCTATTAAGTGACATATCCACACTATTAGCGTGTGTTTTGACGTGTCACATTCAGGACTGGCCATAAGCACACGTAACTGAGGCGCAGAAACAAGCTGGCAATAATTTTTATGTTCTCTGTCAATCTGCTTAGCTGTGTAAGTAAAGGAAGTAATGTCATACTAAATTCCCAAATTATTCCCAAATAAATCGTAAAGCTATTATCAGCAATTTTCTGTTTTATCTCTTTGGAAAATGAGCTCTTCAGAACTCACATTTACTTTCAGCGTGAGCAAGAGAGCTCCTAGACCAACACTCCAGTCTCTTGATATCACTTTAATACACGTATTTAATAAAAATGACAGTAACACTTCTGCAAAAGAAAAATGGAAGATAATTTTTCAAAGTTAGTGGTGACCACATCCATAATTGTGTACATTGTCACCAATTAATTCAAAACAGAGTGCATAGAGCTGTGGTCAGATGAAAACAAAAAGTGGAGCCTATAAACATATTAAAAGCCAGCTGTCTTCTTTTGATGCTTGCTTCTAACAGGACATTCTTCTAACAGGACATGGAGAGACTACATCAGTGGACAAGGGAAGAGCTATGGATGTGATCTACCTGGACTTCTGTACGGCCTCTAACACAGTCCCTCACAACATCCTTCTGTCTAAATTGGAGAGATACGGATTTGATGGGTGGACTGCTCGGTGAATGAGGAACTGGTTGGATGCTCACAGCCAGAGGGTAGTGGTCAACGGCTCGATGTCCAGATGGAGACCGGTGACAAGTGGTGTCCCTCAGGGGTCCATACTGGGACCAGTGCTGTTTAATATCTCCATCAATGACACAGACAGCAGGATCAAGTGCACCCTCAGCAAGCTTGCAGATGACACCACACTGAGCGGTGTGGTTGAGACACCAGAAGGACGGGATGCCATCCAGAGGGACCTGCACAAGCTGGAGTGGTGGGCCTGTGAGAAACTCATGAGGTTCAACAAGGTCAAGTGCAAAGGTCCTGCACCTGGGTCAGGGCAACCCTCAGTACCAACACAGGCTGGGGGATGAGGGGATGGAGAGCAGCCCTGCCCAGAAGGACTTGGGGGTGCTGGGGGATGAAAAGCTGGCCATGACCCAGCAGTGTGTGCTGGCAGCCCCAAAGGCCAAGCGTGGCCTGGGCTGCATCCCCAGCAGCGTGGGCACAGGGCGAGGGAGGGGATTCTGCCCCTCTGCCCCGCTCTGCTGAGACCCCCTGGGAGTCCTGCATCCAGCTCGGAGCCCTCAGCACAGGACAGAGCTGGAGCTGTGGGAGCGGGGCCAGAGGAGGCCCCAGCAATGATGCGAGGGCTGGAACCCCTCTGCTGGGAGGAAAGGCTGGGAGAGCTGGGGCTGTTCAGCCTGGGGAAGAGAAGGACAAGGGGAGAACTTAGAGCAGCTGCCAGTGCCTGGAGGGGCCGATAGGAAAGATGGGGACAGAGGCTTTTTAGTAGGGCCTGTTGCGATAGGACAAGGGGTAGTGGTTTTAAACTGAAAGAGGGGAGATTTAGACTGGATATAAGCAGAAATTTTTCACTCTGAGGGTGGTGAGACACTGTCACAGGTTGCCCAGAGAGGTGGTCGATGCCTCATTCCTGTGAACGTTCCCGGTTGGGTTGGACGGGGCTTTGAGCAATCTGGTCCCATTGAAGATGTCCCTGCTCGTAACAGGGAGGTTTGGCTAGATGGCCTTTAAAGGTCCCTTCCAACTTAAACTATTCTATGATTCCTTAATTTCATCCAATATCTTAAATACATAAAGGATATAACTGCTTTTTTTTCTTCTGTATTACTGTTTCAGAACACCATTGCCAACAAAAGCAATTGCTTCGATTCCAGGTGTTTATGAAGGTATTTCGGGACTTTACGTAATGACTTACCACAGTCATTATGTCTCCTGCCTTGCCTCACTCACATTTCTTGACACCTAATCTTGTGCAAACAACAAAAGCCAAATATTAACCACTCTGCCATTTTCTCCTTTCCTCCCTTTATATTTTCACTGTTGAATTGCTGGAGTTTTTTCCCCCCTCCTGTTTAAAACATCCCTATTTCTCATAGCCAAATGATCCTCTCGGAAGCCAAGCCTCCCAAATACTCTTTTATCCCCAAACTTCTTAAGACCAGATGTCTCGATGGTCCTACATTTCTGGACATGAGGAAGAGCTTATGATGTCACTCCCTCCTAGAGAAACGATGCCGTGTTTTGCAACTTCAATCTTTATGGTGGGCTGACCTTCAACTAAAATTAAGGGCTTGCTTTTGTTTCTGGTAAGAAATATATCTGTGTATTGCCTCCTTGCAAGAAATGCACCACGCAGACCTTGATATGGCAAAAGTCACTCCTGCGAGGCTTGATAAAGCATCATCGTTGATGCCACCTTGTGGCAAAAATACTGGAACCTAGAAATGCTCAGCATTTGTCCCTCCTTGCAGGCGCATTTAACTGCAGCACAGTGATAACCGCTGCCAGCAGTGCTTCAGTTTTACACTCCATAAAACCAGAATTTTGGCACTCCTAAAAATGCGGCACCAGTCAGTGACTCAGAGGATGAAAAGCAGGAAAAAGCACCACAAAACGCATTTGTTCTTTCCACAGGGTGAAAACTAAAGCGGTACAGAGAATCACAGAATGGTTTGGGTTGGAAGGGACCTTTAAAGATCATCTGGTCGACCACAGGTTGACCATGAGCCAGCAGTGTGCCCTGGCTGCCAAGAAGGCCAATGG